GGTAACAAGCATGAAACTCCGTCTCAAAAAAAATAAATAAATAAAATAAAATAAAATGCCAAATGCCTTGATGTAATGTAGCCAAAATTACGCTACATGTATATTTATTTGACCTTAGAATGGTCTTTTTTTTAAAACCAGTATTAGCCTAAAAACATAAAATGTATTTTAACTCTTTGTCACCTCTTTTGTTCCTACTACAGTTTCCTCCAGACAATAAAGGTCAAAACTGTGTCTTTTTATTTCATAACAGGATGTTGTTTTAATTGTCCTTAAAACTTTTGTTTCTACCACCACATTCATGGCACATTTTGAACATTATGTCTTAATCATACAAGTGGGAAAACATATTAAACCATGTAACTAAAGTTCCACAGTAGTTCTTCAGAAAAAAGGTATGTGGAAAGGAAACAGACTTAAAATTTTACTGCATATTCCCTTATATTTAACAAACTTTAGAGAACTTGACAAGGACATACACTTTTGATATAGTATATAACATCTTAGTAATAAAGTATAGTTAAAAAAAATTCATGTTCCATATGAATATGGAGTTCTACCTGAAACAGAAATGAATTAAATACTAAACTTTTTTACAATTATCACTAAATATTGAAAACACTTTCCTCACCATAACTACAGAATATATGCAGCACATTTAGGCCATGGTTCAAAATAAGAGGGAATCGGTGAATAAAAAAAAGGAATGTGAGGAAAGTATGAATAAAAGATATATTTTTTGTGCAGGAGGATATAAATAAAGAGTAATTTTGTCTGAGAGATTTTGCATGGTGGATTCTTGTCCTAGAGTAAAATTATCTGACTATTTGAGAGGGAGATGATACAGGACAGGTCACAAGGTCCAGACATGTCGTGGATGCTCTGTGTGGGTGATAATGGTGTTTGTAAAAGGGAATTTGAAAGGGGAGTTTGGTATGTGATTAAGCTGGCTGTAACTGAAGGAAAACTGTGGTAGACGTTCTAGAAAACAGTCTATGTGTTAGAACCAGGTTTTCTTAAGATACTAATTCGCTAACTTACCAGAATTTTTGCTTTTTAATTCTGTGATTTCTTTTGAAAGCTTCTCAGATTTGTGTAACTCTCTCCCTATTTTTTTTTTTTTTCAGCTCCTATGACTTGTTTCTCCTTTGATTCTGACTGCTGTTATGGCCTGATACTAAAGTGTTTTGTCTTAGAGGTCTATGGGAGCACTGTTTTCCCCCAGTATAGCTTGACTCTATGCTCTTGGTTTTTCTTGATATATAGCCCTATTTTTTTTTGGCTTTTAATATTTGACTTCTACATTGTTTAAAAGAGTTTTAAGCCACCTCCATTCCCCTCTGCCTAAAATGTTTAATTGGTTATAAGTCTTTTGACTTACGAGTCCCCTGACCAAAGGAAATCCCAAATAAACCTAAAAAAACTAATTCAGAACATGATGGGAAATGCGGGGGGGCGGGGGCGGTGCTGGACAGGCTTCACTATGCCACCCCTGCCCTTAGAATTTAGGCTAGGTTCAAAAGGCCTTTCAGAATTATGAAAATAGAGTGTTGCCCTTTCCCACAAAGAAAACAATAGCTCCTCTGTTTAGCCAGACTTAGTCTTACTAAAAACTTAAAAATAAAGATCCCATGATGATCAATTACAACTAAAAACAGAAGGACCCCTATCAGGTATTGTTAAGTACCTACACTGCTGTTAAACATCAGAGAATCACTAGCTGGGTACACCTGTCCAGGATTAAACCTGTTTCTTGTAAGTCCCTGCAGGCCTAAGAGGAAGACACCATGAGCAATACTTACAAACCACTAGAAGACTTAAAGCTATTATTTCACAAACACATAGATAAATAATGTGATGATGTGAGTGGGCATGGGAGCATTAACTTTTCTCTTCCTTCTAATTTTCTTGTTTAACCTTCTAGTAAAGTTTATATCTTTTAAAGTCTACATAAAGATGATGCTGGCACAAGGCTTCCAACCCATCTTATCATCTGACCCAGAAAATGAAAACATCCTGCCATTGGGCCTTTTAGATCAGTTATCCAGAGATTTTTACTCCTCCTATGCTAGGCAGAGCTTATGTTCATAAAATCAGCAGGAGGCACTTACAGAGGACAGATCTATCACCTCAGGCAGCCCTTTAAGATTAAGGAGGCGTTCATCATTCTCCTTATGGGGAGGAAATGAGGTAGGAGACCAACAGGACTTGTTTTCTGGTGACAACCCTGCTGAACAAAACAGGATCTAGTTCAGAGGAGGCGAAGTGAAGAAACTGGCCAAAACCAGTAGATACAACAAAAGCAATCTCTAGCTGTGCTCAATGCCCACTGGCATAAGACACTGCTACCAGAACTACGGCAGTTGACAAATGTCATGGCAGTGACTCAAAAGTTACCACCCCTTTCCATGGCAGTGACAGAGAAGTTGCCACCCCTTTCCTGGAACCAATTTGTATTAACTCACCCTTTAATTTGCATGTAACTGAAAGTGGGCAAACTCTGAGTGCGCTGCTTTTAAGTTAGCCCTGCTCCACAAGGAGAAGTACCAATCAATAAAAGATTGCTGTCCAACACCACCACCGGGCCCTTGAATCCTTTCCTGAGTATAGCCAAGAACCTTCCCAGCCTAAATCCCAATTGTGGGGCCAGCCTGTCCCCTATCACCCTGACAGAAACATATATCTTCTTCCAATTATTCAATCAAATGTTAATCTAGATGCTACTGTGAAGGGCTTTTGCAGGATCCTGAATCAGCTGACTTCAAGGTCCAGACATTTTTCCTCAAGAAGGCTTAACCTCATCAGATGAGCCCTCCAAAGGGACAGGGCTTTTCCTGGCAAAATAAATTTGAAGTGTGACAGGGATAAAACGTCCACTGCTGTTTCTGATGGTAGAGGGGGCTGTGTGGCAAGGAATGTTGGTAGTCTCTGGGAGCTGAGAGTGGCTCCTAGCTGATATCAAGTAAGAAAATTCAGTCCTTAGTCCTCAGCGCTGCAATCACAAGTGAGTTGTGCCACATTACGTGAGCTTAGACACATGAGCTCCTAATGAGAATGCAGACTACCCAACACTGTGTTTTCAGTCTTTATTTTAAATCCTGAGCAGGCAAACTAATCATGCTGCGCCCACATTCTAACCTAAGAAATGTGAACAAATGGGTGTGAAGCTGCTAAATTTGTGGTACTTTGTTACACAACAAGAAAACAACAATATAAGCACTGAACAGGCTAAGTCAGACAGCTTGATTTAGAAAAATGCAGTTAAGTTTATTGTAAGTCTTAAATCCTACTTGAAGAAATATATCTAATATTGAGGACATCCAACATTAGGAAACCAAAGAAGGCTACTAGCAGATTAGGATTTAGTGACAAGAAACCTAAGACATTTGAGATCTCATTAACCACAGGGAAACCAGGAAGCAAATGTCATAAAAATACAATGAATTCTTACCAGAAGAAAGATTTTTCTGGATTCACCACCTTTATTTGTGAAACCACAGGCAGAACTAGGTAAACTTTAATGGCTCCTTCAGCAGTTTCTACAGTCCTTGTTCATATAAAGTCCTATCCTTTATATAGACTTCAGAGATGCCTTAACACCAACCCAGATTCTATCAATACTCAGAACTCACCTATCTTCTAATAAAGTATTGCATCAATAAGGGAATGATTTCTTAAGATCCAAAGCTTTCCTGCATTTGACCAAAGGATCTTTATCACATAGCAAAACACCTAACCAAACCAAAGCAAGGCTTTCTTGCCACACAATAGTTCCATTCAAAGGGGTCTTTTTTAAAAATCACATTTTAAAAACTGAAAGTATGTGTGTATGTGCACAGGAAGAAAGTAGCTCATAAAGTCCCACACGAGGCAGTGATGCTTACAATAACAAAAAAGAGAAACTGGCTCATGCTCTGAGAGCATATGTTTACTCCCAACTTAAATCCTTATAAAATATTACATATTAGATATAAATGAAGCACTTAAATTACTTAACTCCTTTATTAAATGATGACCTAGGGAAAAACAGGAAGTAATCGTTTAAAAGGATTGGTTTTGCACCTACACTACTTAATGTGACAGCCTGAGTAACTTCTTAAAAAAAAAATAGAAGAATTCTAATTACTTTGAAAACAACAATTAGGACAGTATTTCTTCAAAGTTATTGTGTTGATGGTAACTAATGTCTAATAAGTACTAGCTAAGTAGCTAGAATGTACCTTCATATAGATGAAAATGATGAAAACTCTGGAATAATAAATTAGATGAAACAAAGAATTTCAAACTTCAATTCCCTAGAGAAATATGCTAAAAGAAGCAAAATGGGAGATACGGAAGAGTTATGAAATAGTTTCACTAATAATGAATCATAAGCAATAAAAATGTAAATAAAGCTCTTCTTTGTTCTCTTCATTGATATTAGTTTAAGATCCTTTGTAGGACAGTTCTCTGGGTGGTCTTGGACTAGCCCAGTCTTTCCCTCTCCTTGTAGTTCTCAAGAATAACTGTAGCATGTGAAGGAAATGCAACATCCTGAGATGGGGAGGGACTGGCTGGAAGAGCCCAGGTTCTGCTCCAGTCCTCCTCTAGAAATAGGATGTCCTCTAGCACTTGAGCCCAATGAGTCTCACATTCTCAGTATATAAAACCCAAAACACGGTGCTTTCCAGGGCCCTCAGCTGCAGTGCAAGCAAAGCACATGCAGTCAAGACTCCACTTTCCTGAGCCTTGAGAAACTGGCTTGCAATGAATCCTAGGCTCCTACTGTATCTTGCTGCCCATCTGTAAGTGGTAAACTTGCTTCCTATAACCTGTATGCAAGAATGTTCTGTCTTACTCAGACAAGATGGTAACCAGTCCACAGTGAACCTGCTGTACACTCTTTAACATCCTCTAAATGAAAAAACTGATTAGAAAGTAACTTGACAAAAACAAAAACCTGATAAAATCAAACAAGCCAGTTCTTGATTTTATAATATCCACAGTGGCTTCTCTCTTACCTTGTCTATCCTATCTGGGCGGTTAGTAGCTGCCAAAATGGTCACATCCTTTAGCTGTTCAATCCCATCCATTTCTGTTAAGAGCTGAGCCAAAACACGATCAGCTACATTCCCAGCACCTAAAGAACTGATTTGGAAAATACAGTTTTAAAAATCTCTTTACCTATCTTCAAATACTATATCTATTAATTTTTAAAAGTTCTATAGTCTATAACAAGAAAAATCATCTCTGTTTTCAAATATAAAGTGTGCCTTTGAGAATTTATTTATTGTATTATCATATCCCAAAGCAAACTGTATTCAAATCACTTGTTTTCCTCTGTCATCAACAATGTTCATTTTCATTCCAAAACTAAAATATTTAAATAAATGTCAGAAATAAAAGCACTGGAAAACAAGATATAAGATTATTTAAAATAATTCATCAAATACATACAGAATTGTTCAATCGATGTTTATATTCCACATGGCAAATATGTTGACAGAAATTCGGAATAAAAAACTGAGTAAGATGCAAACCCAGTCCTCACATGAAACCTAAAGTCCATATGAAATAAAAAACTCATCACACATCCATAACAACTAGGATATTTCTGATGTTTCTTCATAAATATTAAGAATATTTTTTAGGCCGGGCGCGGTGGCTCAAGCCTGTAATCCCAGCACTTTGGGAGGCCGAGGCGGGTGGATCACGAGGTCAAGAGATCGAGACCATCCTGGTCAACATGGTGAAACCCCGTCTCTACTAAAAAAAAATACAAAAAATTAGCTGGGCATGGTGGCGCATGCCTGTAATCCCAGCTACTCAGGAGGCTGAGGCAGGAGAATTGCCTGAACCCAGGAGGCAGAGGTTGCTGTGAGCCAAGATTGCACCATTGCACTCCAGTCTGGGTAACAAGAGCGAAACTCCGTATCAAAAAAAAAAAAAGAATATTTTTTAAACACATCAAAAGGTAGGTAATTGCCACAATCCCCATTTCTTGAGAAATAAGCAAAGAAAGCATGTTAGTTCTACTTTTTTGGTTTATGTACCAAATCCATTACAAAGTCCGTTCTAAACACTCTACCCTTTATTTTAACTTCATGTCCTTTGATCACTAAAAAATTACTGAATATAAGTTCTTAAAAAATAAATGGGCCAGATGCAGTGGCTCATGCCTGTAATCCTTTGGGAGGCCGAGGCCGGTGAGTCACTTGAGGCCAGGAGCTCAAGACAAGCCTGGCAAATTGGGTCAAACCCTATCTCTACTGAAAAAAACACAAAAATTAGCCAGGTGTGGTGGCATGCACCTGTAATCCCACCTACTCTGAATGCCAAGGCATGAGAATACCTTGAACCTGGAGGCCGAGGTTGCAGTGGGCAGAGATCACGCCACTGCACTCCAGCCTAAGCAATAGAGCAAGAGTGTCTCAAAAAAAAAAGAAAGTAAACTCAACAAATCCTACTAATGAACAAATCCTTGATATCACACAATCAAAATGCACAAAACAATTCTCATTAGCAATATCTTGGATTTCCTAAGACTTATTCAGAATTGATAAATATGTAATAAACAACTGAGTGGACAACTGTAGAGTAATAGAGCATTGTAAGTGTATTAAACATGTAAATTCAATTAGATGCACTTGGGTGGGTGGGGTGGAAAAGGATGTAAAGTAGAGGGAGACAAATACCCAATAATTCTGTTAGCACCTGTGACAAAGAAGAGTACCTCAGTATAATTATCATGTAATATATTTAATAGTAAGGTCATCACGGCCTCTAAATGACAGTATTTAGACCTTGCAACATGCATTGTAAGTTCAAAAATTTGACTTAATGTATCCATATGAGAATAGCCTCTAACTCAAAACTAATCAAATGCACATGAGATTGTTATACAAATCGCAGTCTCAATTTATTAATTTACATGGTTTTCTCCAATATTTAAAATATATGGGACCAAAAAGTACTTGGGAAGTCACTGAGAACTGTTTTGGGTACTAATTCTTGCAGGTAGCTACTCTGCAGGTAAACAATTTTGCTTATTTGACTCTATGTAAGAACGCTGAATATTGTAAACAAATGGATTCTATGTCTGTATTAGACTGTTCTCACACTGCTATAAAGTACTACCCGAGACCAGGTAATTTATGAAGAGAACAGGTTTAATTGACTCACAGTTCCACTTAACAGGGAGCATAACTGGGAGACCTCAGGAAACTAACAATTATGGCTAAGCAGAAGAGGAAGCAAGCACTTTCTTCATATAGCAGTAGTGGGGAGAAAGAGAGAGTGAAGGGGTAAGTGCCACACACTTTTAAAGCATCAGATCTCATGAGAACTCACTCAATATCATGAAAACTGCAAAGAAGAAATCCATCCCCATGATGCAATCACCTCCCACCAGGAGTCTCCTCCAACACTCGGGGATTACAATTCAACATGAGATTTGTGTGGGGACACAGAGCCAAACTCTATCAATATCCTTCAAAAGATTCTCCATAATATAATTTTTCCACATGGGAGTTTAACTGTCAAGTAGAAACACAATTGGCAAAAGCTTTAGGAGGTCTTTCATAATTACTACAAGCACAGTAAATATTTCAGGCTGCCAATAAATTATATCGGAAGCCTTTAATTGTATCTACTCTGCTAATCACTTGTGATTCCATACCACAAAAAAACTCAGGAAGGTGATATGGACAGGTCTCGGGAAACCAAAGTGGGCTGTCCCAAGAAAGACGGTTTCTCGGGTAAAACCTTAAAACTTGGTGGGTATTAGGCAAGCAAAGGTGAAAGGAGGAAAAAAGAGAGAATACAGGATACTAAAAACTGGATGAAGTGCAAAATCGCTAAGCATAGCAGTAAGGTAAAAATATAAAAGATTAGCATAGAAAAATAAACCAACGCTGAACAACAAAGACCTTGTTATTCAAATCATGGAGTCTGGATTTTATGCTACAGTTAATGGGATGTTTCAACTAGAGACATGATCTAATCAGATTTGTGTTTTTGGGAAACACCATGGCTGCCTGCAGTGTAGAGAAAAGACTATAAAAGGACAGTGTTGGTCCAATTTCTGGTTCAGAATGTTAGTAGTTTGTTAGTCTTTACTCTGCCCTAACAGCAAGTAAAAAGCTGAACAAACTGAGAAACCAACTCTTCTAAGATCCATCATATTAGTAAGTTCACAGGGCAAAACTGGAGAGACGGATAGCCCAGGTACAGATAATCACAATTTTCTGGAGCAGAAACCCACAAAGAGAAACCTCCATGAGAGTCAGTGCCAGGGTAGGAAAACTGGAAATATAATTAACAAACTGTGGGGGTTCAGTGTTTGACAAGTCAGAGAGTCACAGAAGGCGGGCCCTCACACATTTGTGAGTTTTATCTTTAGGAACTACACCAGCTTCTCAGAGTGAAGATCTGAGAAAAATCCCCCTGAGCTTCTGGCAGGAGAAAGGAAATAAACCCACTGTGAAATACACTTAGAGCATTCTTTTCTGAAAAGGGCCTGCTCTTCAAGAGAAAATATTTTTTCTCAGAGCTTACGTTATTGAGGTTTTATTAGAGACCAGTGACCCAGAGGAAGAGAAATATCCAACTTTAGCACTTTCTAGCCTTTCCTGTGGGAGAAGAAAAATAAAAAACTTCAGCCCCATCTAGCCATCCTGTCCCATCTAAGGGAAGAAAACCGTGAAGTTCAGAGTCAAAGGGTATAGACTCACTAAAAGACAGATCTAATCACAGGACCATGGAACACTCCTTCCCTTACTCCCCCCAACACCTATTATATCACTAAAGCCCTATTTACTGCAGTTCTTTTTATCCAGTATATCATGTCTGGTTATCAAAGAAAAATTACAAGGCATACTAAGAACTGTGGAGCAGATACAAAAGGTGTGGCACGTGTAATAGGAACACCAAAAGAAGAAAGAACAGAACCAATATTTGAAGAAACATTCACTGAGAATTTCCCCAAATTAATATTAGCTACACATCCAGAAAGCCCAGGGAACACCAAGCAGAATAAAGATTTGTTTAAAAAAAAAAAAAAAAGCTACAGGTAAGCAGAAAATCAAATATTTTTTTAAAAACCTGAAAGAAGTCACATGTCAAGGGGTTGGGACCACCTTACAGAAGAGAAAGAATTACACCAACTTTTCACAAACCATGTGAGCAAAAAGAAAGTCAAGTGAAATATTTAAAGTATTGAGAGAACAAAACCCACCAATGTATAACTTTATATCCTGCAAAGATATCCTTCAAAAGTGAAGGAGAAAAACTTTCTCAGACAAACAAAAATAAGGAATTTGTTGCCAGTGGACCTGACTTGCAAGAAATGTTTAAAGAAGCTCTTTAGAAAGAAGAAAAATAATATAGGTCAACTTAGCCTTTGTTTGGGAGGCAGGTGCCACAGGATTCTATACAGCATTTGTCCTTGATAATACAGGATCATCATTTCTATGGTCTAAGGATGGTTGTAGAAACACAAGATTTGGAATCTAGTGACTTAGGTGCTTGCTTACTCAAAAAAAAGACTGTTAAATTACACTTCAATAAAATAAGTGTGACTGAATGACCTTTGTGCAGAGAGTAACATGGAGACCTTTCTACAAATTAATTAATGAGCCAGAGTGCAAAGGCACGATCTCTGCATAACCAGCGGAGTGATCATAATCTCTAGTTTCTCTGAGTTTCTATTCCCTTATTCAAAAAACTATCTGTGTGCATCTTTGCTAGGCACTGTGGTGGGCATCTGAGGTAAGAGGAGAAAAACATCTTCATTTCCTTGAAGATTTCATTCTTGTTGACAGGTATAAATGAGGGAGCAAAATTAGATAAATTTAGACATAGGTCCTTTTGAGTTTTAAAATTCTGTGATTCTATGCTGTTATTATGTAGCATCTAAGTGAAGCTACTTAATTCATTACTTTTAATAAAAATCCATATTTAGAAATGTATTATTGACACATCCAATCAGATACTTCTAAATAAAAGGCAGTGAAACTCAAACTTTTCGTCTTTCTAAAGAACTTCTTTCCAATTTGCTATTTGTTGTAGGAGGAAACAGTGGCTGTAATTAATGTTGAAGATTAGGTGATGATAATTCTTTGCATTCCTATTACCCATACTGCCTTTGC